TATCCCCACCCAGTTGAGCTAGGTTTCCCTTCCTAGAGCTGCATAAGTCATAAGGCTAAATTCCTGGAAACTACAAAATGAGACCCACAGTTGAGATGTTTTCTCTTCAGTTCTGGGAGGCAGTGAGGAGGCGGGTGCTGGAAGAAGGAAGAAAGGTAGAAAAAGCAGACAAAATGCCCATTATAGCCAAGCCTGTCAATTTCCTTTTTTCATCTCTTTATCAGTGTTTATGACTGAGCTTCTTATCAACAGGAAACGCCTGCCTAGGGGGATGAAACAAGTCCAGGGAGACTGGACGCCAGGGGCCAGGAATTCTGGGTAATGCATTCCTGCTGGCCAGCCTGACTGAGTGGCCTCCTAATTCCCAGAACCCAGTAAGGCTCCCAGGCTCTTTGCCTTGGCATCCAGGTGAATTCTTGGATCTGCACAGGAAGATAGCACACTGGCAGGCCCTGAGGCCAGAGGGTCTGTAGGAGAGATCCCTAGGTGGGGCTTCAGCTCTCGTCCCCTATGACCAAGGACAGTCACCAAACTGCTCAAGCTATAAAATGAGGAGAACAGTCCTTGCCCCGAAACACCTCCAAACCTCTCTCCTTTCCAGGTGAGGAACTTGAAACCAAGTGGGGTGGGGTACAATGTCAAGGTCACACACAATTGAGTGACAGAGTCATCCCAACTGACCCTTCTAGTGTGTTTGCCTTTGAGCCCTCAAAGGATGGTGCCTGTGCTGGACATCCAGGCCAAATACTGCTTTGGGGACAATTAGGTCCATGGCACAGTCTTGTAGATGAAAGGGACAAGGGTGACTCCAGCACTGATCAACCTCCTACCAAATGCCAGGTGCCCTAAACCATTGATCCTCAGACCAGGGGCCTGGTCTCACAAGTGGGGCTCCCATGAGAGGGATGGACTAAGGACAACATATCACAGGAAGCTGAAATCAAATCTTTGTGCTGAAAATAAATGCCCACAAGATATCTGGGGTAAGCAAGACTTTAATAGTGGCTGAGAGGAAAAGGTTTCTCTAGATACCTTTCTTCAGACTTGTGGAGTACTGAGTAGAGAGTACAGGAATTGGCTGTTCTCTTGGTATAAGAGGAGGGAAATGTTTGTAGAGAACAGAAGATGGGCTACCTGGCATCCCATTCCTCACCCTCATCCTCTGCCTTTGAGCAGCCAGACTCTGCTGTGGGTGATAGTGTGGTAGAGGTGGTAATACAGGAAATTCCCATGTGCCTCTTGCTCTGCCCCAGTAGCTCCCTGGACAACCCCACTCCCCTGACCTCACCATTTGCTTCAGCAGTCAGGGATCTAGGTCAGTAAGAGTGGGTGGGTGAGAAAGAACAGAAGAGACTCATCCAGACATGACACCCCGGAGGGCAGCAGTGACAACACTTTAACCTGAAAACTGCCTGAAAATAGACTGTGTGTCTAGGACATTATGCAAATCATATGCAAAGTCAAGAAGCCCTCTGTCTCTATTTCTAGCAAACTGTATGTGACCCTGGTAGAAGCAGCTAGTTCCAAGAGTCGCCCACCCATGATTACATAGTTAGCATCAGTCCCAGCTCTGGAGACTGGACTCAGCACGTGCACCCCCCACTCCACCTCCAAGACCAGGTCTTTCAGGAATGAGAGCTTTGCTATCTCTGGCTATAAATTTTGATGCATGTGAAGATATGGAGGAAGCAGAGCACCCTCCTTGAAGGCTGATTGGGGTGGGACTGAGGCAGAATGGTGCCTGGGAGGACAGAATTGTCCTTGAGGATCTGGGTACTCCCTTGGCAGGAGACAAGGTGGTCTCAGCATCAGGACTTATGCTTCAGGGACCACCTTCACCTCATTTTGGCATGTTATAGACACCTATCACCCCTCCAGGAGGGCCCTTAAAACCCAGAAGATCCTCTCCTTCTTTGTATAGGTAGGGAGACTGAAGCTGGGGTTCCCCAAGGAGCAGAGAGAAACTGCAAAGCAGAAAAGAGGGCAGAGGGTTTTCTGTTCTCAGAAGCTCAGGTGAGCCTCTTTATGGAGATAGGGGTTTGCACATGGTAGCGTCCCAAGGACTCTTCTAACCTGAGATAGCAGTGAGCCAATTCTCCTTCCTCAGACCCCAGCCGGGGTTCATGTAGCTCTTTTCCTGAAATTTTCATAATGCTCTTCTCCCTACTCCACAGCCATAGTGTGGATGTCAGGGTGGGGATATAGGGACCAGGGTCTGGCAGGGAGAGGGGAAAGGCTACCTTTGGAGGATATTAAGAATGCTCTTGTTTTCCCAAAGCTGGTCTAAGAGGCCTGGCGCTAGAGCCCTCTGGGAGGCCACTGTCTGTTGTGGGGACTCTGTGAAGCCAGGCACGGGAAGAGTGTAGGAGGAAGAGCGTAGGAGGCTCCTGGGATGAGGCTGATTTGGGAGCTCTGGGATGGAGGTGAGGTCCTCCTTGGTAAAAAAGAATTGGGTTCCCTTCCTGGGGCTCTCTCCAAAATCAAATGTTGCCATTGAGTAATTCCGGCTCTTAGTTACTCCATGTGTTAAAGTGGAGAACTGCTCTGTAGGGTTTCTTTGGCTGTAATCTTTAGGGATGCAGGTCACCAGGCCTTTCTCCCACGGTGCCAGTGGATGAGTTCAACTACCAACCTGGAGGTCAGTAAGCAGTCCAGAGCAAACAGTTTGCACCACGCAGGGACCTTCAGGGTTCCCTAAGAGAGTCTCTATTACAAAGGGATAGATTGTTTTAGGCCTGAGAAGTAAGGTGGACAAGGCCCCTTCCCCACTTCGTTCAGTATCTGCCTCCTCCCTGGCAAGCCTTTCCGACGCCCTGCCCCTATTTCCCTTAACGTTGGCTGGGAGAGAGATGTGGGGTGCTTTTGCAGTCCAGGACACCAAAGATGTGGTTCCCAGGGTCAAGAACTCCTTCCCATTCTGGATACGGACTGACTCCAGGCAAACTGGGGAGCCCATGTGAAGAGAGAATTGAGGGCAGGGAATTGAGGTGGGCAGTTACAAGCTGCCTCTGGGTAAGGACACAAGTGTAGTTTGCAAGCGACAGTCCCTGAAAAACAAGCTCGGCTGAGAGCAGGCACACCAACGCACCAGGAAGAGGTGAAGAGATCCCTACGCCGCCTGGGAAAGGTCTGCGCGTCCCAGATGTGGGGGAGGCGGGCGCTGGGCAGCCCTTCGTCCAGCAGAGGGCGATGTGGTAGGCACGGCGATCAGGCTGCTTTCGACCCGGGATCAGAACTGAGATTTGGGCCTCCGCGGGGATCAATGACACGCAGGGCCATGATACCCGGGACCCTCTCCTTCCCTATCCCCTCAGAGTTCCTCTGGACTACCGCGAGGGGTCGCTGGAGAGACATCGGTCTGGGAAGAAGGGCAGGAGCTCAGGAATCAACCGTCGTTTTTTGAAGGGCACGTTATATGCTGGGCACATGCTAAGTGCTTCCACGAACTGTACTCCCCTCCAACACCTTGTTGCCCTCTGACAGAAGCAAGATGCAAGCCATGCTCACGAATACTTCCTTCTCTTTGGGCACTGGCTGTTCCTCTGTTCTCTCAACCCTCCCCCTGTTCACTCTGCTCCATCTTCTAACTTCAGATCTTCTCTTAGGAATTTCCCAGCCTTCTGAGTCTCGGTTTCCAGCTGTGGGGTCTCAGAGGAAGTTTGCTCCACGACCCAGTAGCGATAAGAATCCTTCAGGGTGGGGAGCACTGATTCCTGGGTTGCCTGCGTACAGTTGACTAGAGCACATGAAACTGCTGAGAGGCAAAGCCTGCCCCGGAGCCGAGCTGTTACATTTCACTTTCTGTTTTTACCCAGTTTCACTTCCTGGTTCTCCTCACTCCCTGGTTCTCCCGGCCTTGCACAATGCTGAGCCAAGGCCTTGGAAAGTGCCATAGGAATGTTGGAAGAAACACACAGTATCACCTCTGGTGGTTGTGCTCGGTCGTTTACAGCAGGAGAGGACGGGTGTATTTTCTTCACTGGCTGAAGTAGAACTTGGGGTCCCTTTCCACCCTGCCCTAAGGACAGCTGTCCTTGTCCCTATAGCCTGTTGTTAAGTGCTGTCCAGTCATCTTCAACTCATAGCGACCCCTCCTTGGGTTTCCCAGGCGGTATCACCACAGCTCTACCTCCAACTCACCTCCCTACCTCCCATCCACCTGCCCAGGGTTCAGGGTACCCTCCTCAGCACATGGGCATACACCCTTTACATCTCCAAATGCCAAACTTCTCGATGTTTAGAGTCACTGAGTTGCCCCTGAGACACATACCCTCTGGGGTCTGGTCAAGGGTGTGGACCTGGGCCAGGGGCCAGTGGGGAGCAAGAACCTGGCTGATGGAGGCTGTTGGCTGGAGCTGAGCCTGGGAGACCCTGGAGGAAACTTCCTCTCAGCCCTGGGGTAGTGAAGGCTACATCACAGAAAGAGCAGCGCGGGAGCTAGCTTCTTGGTCAGAGGCCTGTCTGAGCCCACGTGTGGTCACTGGCATAGGTTAAAGCAAGAATTGGAGCTTGTGGAATCAGACTAGGAGGGATTTCAGACACTCCTGGATTCAGATAAAGTTATTTTCAAATCCACATCTTGAGGCAAGTTGTCAGGGGCTGGGGCATAAGGGGTACGTGGGACGGATAAACTTCGCTCTGATACAGGCTGAATTTAAAAAAATAAATAACAATTAGAGCTGATAGAACCTCCAAGGACATCATGACCAAATTTTTCAATATATAGATGAAGAGACAAAGGTCCTGAGACAGTGAAGGTCCTGCTCTCATTACACAGAACAAGCATCCAGGACCAGAACCTTGGTCTTCTGATTCCCATCCAAGCCTTTCTTTGGCCGTGCTTGGTCTAGAAGTCCTCTCAGTTATTTTGAAAGCCCTGGGCCTTACCTATCTGATATGCCATCTTTCCACTGGCCTATGACCCTGTCAGACCCTCAGCAGAATCTCTTAGGTTTTAACCACCTAGTAAATCTGCTAGGATGGGGGACGAGGGGTCCAGTGTCAGGCCCCAGCTATCCCAGACAGCTGGCATTTAGCTCACACTGGAGAACAGTAGGTTCAGGAGGGCATCATGGATCTGAGAGAGGAACCCACGGACAGAAACTGATGGGCCCGGAGTGTCTGGGGCTTGTGCCAGAGGCTGAGACCTGGCAGGTCGGGTGTTTGCTGAAAGCTGGACAGGGCCCCGTTTCACCCTGGCAGCTCTGGTGGGGCAGTGGAGTTGACTAAGGGCAGGGGGTAAAGTGCAGATACAGGCTCTGGACCCAGACTGGGATTCCCTGGCTTGGCCAACCTGGCTCTGGGCCCTGTTTTGCATCCTGTCCTAGGGGTGGCAGGGGGTACGCCCTGCTGGCATGGGGGGGGTGGGGAGGAGCCAGGCGTCAGGGAGCCTGCTGCTTTGAGCAGGCCAGACAGCAGGGGGATCGGGTTTCAGTCCAGCTGTATTTTTGGCTGGATGGGCTGGGGGCTGAGCAGGCAAGCAGACGCAGCTGCCCATAGAGGGTCACTCCCTCCCCAGAACAAACGTCACACCACCTCTACCCAACACAGGCCGCCATCACCCCTCCCTGCAGGCAGAGGGGATTTAGGCTCTGAGGCTAGTGAATCACTTTAGGCTTCTCCGGACTGTTGCTGAGTTTCTGTAGTGTCTTCTTGATCCGCAGCGCAGTGAGACGGGCGGAGGGGTTGGGGTACCAGCACTCTCGCATCATCTGAGCTAGGCCTGAGAGGACCTGGGGGTTGAGAGAGGCAGAAGTGAGGATGCAGGAGACATGGAAAGGAGGAGATGAGGATGGCCCCGTGATGAGGAGACACAAACAGGAAAGAAGGATGTTAAGAGGGAGATGACAGTGTTGACAAGGACAGCCAGAGGACAGAGAGATTGGAGGCAACCAGGCAAGGATGAGAAGAGGTGGATAAAAAATGGGGAAGGAAGAAAGTGGAGGAAGAAGGCAAATGGTAAAAGACAGAAGGACAGAATGATATAAATCAGATCTTCAGGAGCACCCAGGACCCCTTGTGAGCACTGTCTTCGGAACACTTTACCCTCACTCCCTACCTCCACCCAGATCCGTGGGTAGGGGCTGATCTGTGAGCCATGGGGCTCCCACATCCCTCCCTATCTGCAGCCTGAGACCCTACTGCAGAAGGCAATCTCTGGACCCAGCCCCTCCACCAACCATGGCTGGGCCCAGGGGACTACAAGAAAGGATGAGGGGTAGGCAATGCCCCCAAAATGCAGGTATACAGGAAAGACCCCATCCCAGGAAGATCAGGGTCCCCAGACTGAGCCAGCCCTACCTCTGCCTTAGAACTAGCTTGGTTCCTGAAAGTGAACATCTGTGTGTGTGTGCGTAGGAATGCATATATGTGGCTGTTTTGTGGATATGTGTGTGCATAAATGTACATATGTCTATGCAAACATATTTGTATATACACGTGTACTTGTATTCACTCATCCAAAAAATGTTTACTAAGCACCCATTATGGGCCAGGCACTGTGACAGGTACTGGGGACATAAGGGTGAACAAAAGAGACACGCTCTCTGTCCTCATGGGGCTAATGATCTGGCATACGTGTGTGTGTGTATGCCTGTGAGTGTATATTTATGTAGAAGCATATGCATGCTGGTATGTGTTATGTACACATATGTGCATATGTGTTTTCATAAAAAGTATGTGGAGTGTTTGGAGAAAAAGCAAAACCAAACCACCACCACAACAAAAAACTTCATAGCAGGAAATGGAGCAAGGTGAAGGGTTCTGAAAAATCCCAGATAACCAGAGGGTTCCCTGGGGGTTGGAGCCAGGGATGCCCATGAGAAAGGGGAAGGAGTACTCAGGAATAATGTACCCTCCACCAGGATACCTGCAATCTATCCAAGATGAAGCAGAAGCCTCAGACTCAAGTACCTGGGCCCGGAAATTCCAGCTGTGAGCTACCACCCCAGCCCAGCCCAGCCCAGCCCAGCCCAAGTTGAGGCCTTACTGGGTCTGCAGCCAGTCGGTTAGGGATGGTGGGGGTCTGCTGGTCAACACACACCACCTTTTTCATGTCCTCAAAGCTGGGGTCATTGGGCACCACATCATAGAAGGGTGGTCTGTAGTCCTCCACGATGCCTGCAGATGGAGCAGGGGCAGGACACTCACTCAGGACCCCAGGAAGACCCAATGCCATCCAGAGTAGGAACATCCCTTCCCTTTTTCCCAGAGACTAGGAAGCCAGTGGGCTGCCAATGAGTTCTGGGAACCTTGTGCTTATGGCAGGAAGTCCTGAGAGGGACAATATAATATAATGAATAATTATATTTATAAATAATAATTACTAACATTTAGTTTGCATTTACCATGTACCAGACATGGTGCTATATACACTACATGCATTATCCTGTTAGTCTTCACAATAACGCTATGAGGTGAGTGCTACTTTTATGTCCACTTTATAGAAGAACTTGATGTTCAAGAAGTTGAGTGATTTGCCCAAGATTATACAGTTAATCCACCACCACCCTGTCGATTGAAAAATACCTTTGATGTCACTTTGAAGACTAAGGTGCACCTGACCCAAGACATGGTATTTTCAACCAGCCACTCCTCGAAAGGAAGGTTGGACAATCTACTTCTGTAGTGATACCACCTTGAAAACCCAAGGAGGGGTCACTATGAGTCGGGTCCAACTCAATGGCACATAACAACAACAACATGTACATGTGAAAACTGGAAAATGAATAAGGAAGACCAAAGAAGAGTTGACACTTTTGAGTTGCGGTGCTGGTGAAGAAAGTACCATGGACTGACAGAAGAACAAACAAATCTGTCCTTAAGGAAGTGTAGCCAGGATGCTCCTTGGAAGTGAGAATGGTCAGACTTTGTCCTACCTACTTTGGTCATGCTGTCAAAAGGGACCAGTCCCTAGAGAAGGATATCATATTGTGCTTGGTAAAGTAGCAAAAAAAGAAACCAGACTCACTGCCATCAAGTAGAATTTGACCCACAGCGACCCCTTTTGGGTGTCCGACGTGGTAAATCCTTATGGAAGTAGATTGCCCAGTCTTTGTTCCACAGAGTGCCTGGTGGGCTTGAACCATCAACCTTCTGGTTAGTAGTCAAATGCCTTAGGCACTACACACTAGAGCTCCTTTGGTAAAGTAGAGGGTCAGTGAAGAAGGGGGAAGACTCTCAATGAGATGGATTGACACAGTGGCTGCAAGAATGGGCTCAAGCATAGCGAGAATTGTGAGGATGGTGCAGAACTGGGCAGTGTCTCGTTCTGTTGTGTATGGGGTTGCTGTGAGTCAACCACGCCAAGTCAACGGCGCCCAACAATAACCACATCGAGCCAATTCCCACTCATAGCGACCCTACTAGACAGAGTAGAAGTACCCTATGGGTTTTCCAAGGCTGTAAATCTTTACAAAAGCAGGTTGCCTCATCTTTTTTCTGTGAAGCAGCTGGTGGGTTCAAACTGCTGACATTTTGGTTAGCAGCCATATGCTTGAACCACTGTGCCACCAGAATTCCTTAGGTTGCACAGTTAGTAATGACAAAATCAAGACTTAAACCAGTCTCATTTGACTCCGAAACTATTCATTGCTCCAATCTTTCCACAGCTGCCTCTTACCCAGGGCCTGGGTTTGCTTCCGGGCTCTGACTATCACAGATGTCCAAGAATAATGATACCTGCCTCGGCAACCCAAGGAGGGGTCGCTATGAGTCGGTGCTGACTCAACGGCACACAACAACAACAGCAATGTTTATGGAGCACTTACCACATGTCAGGCACTGTCCTAAGTGCTTTGCATTAAATTCTCACAACATGAGGTTAAAAATACTAATAAGTCCACTTAAAAGCAAAGATATTAAAGCCAGAGAGGTTAAGAAACTTGTCTAAGATCACACAGGTAGTAAGTGACTCACTCATTGATGTCAAGTTGATTCGACTCATAATGACCCCTCCTTGGGTTTCCAAGGCAGTATCTCCACGGAAGTAGATTGCCCAATCTTCCTTCCTAGGAGTGGCTGATGGGTTTGAACTGCCAGCCTTCTGGTTAGCGGTCAAATGCCTTAGGCACTACACCACCAAAGCTCCCAGTGACAGAGCTGGACTGGGACTTAAGCCCAGAAAGTCTATGGCAAAGCCCATGCTCTTGACCTCCAAGCTATACTGAAGGAAGGGAAGGCAGTTGGTTGCTTGCAGAGCGAGGATGTGGAACAAGGAGAAGAAAGAGAAGAAAACACATGCCCTAAGGGAAGAGATTTTTTCCTAGGTCCAAATGACAGAGATGTCACAGCCCTCCCCTGACCCCCTCAGCCAGCAATACCACTCTCCCCATATTCTCCCAAGTGCACAGTAGATGTTTTCTGAAAATGATCTCAGTGGAGCTGCAGACAGCTCAGATGGAAGACACTAGACCTCGAGTACAAGCCCAGTGCCCTGTGTTGCTTCCCAGCCTGAGGCTGGGGGCCGTAGGCCGCAACCTCAGTAGAGCCTGCGCCAGCTGTTCTCACCATGGCGGGCTTCCAGCCGGCCCCTGTGCTGCTCCCGCCCTAATCAGTGCTGCGCAGAGGCCTGAGCGTGTCTAATGAGCCTTTAATCAGTGCCGGGGCTGACACCAGATTACAGTGTTTATAATGCGCCACGAATCTGTATGGGGCTGACAGAGCTTCCCCTCCTCTCCAGGAGCCTGCAGTCAGCCTCTCCCTCAGCCCAGGCTAGTCCAGCCTTCTTTTCTCACCTGCAGCCTGGTCCAGGGGACATCAGCTTCTTCCAGGTGTCCCTTTCTTATAGCCCCTACCACTAGAGCAGATTCTGGGTGCTCATGCCTGAAGGGGCAGGGATCTGAGTCCCTTGTGAGTCTCCCAGAAGGACTGGTTATGCCTACATATCCACCTTCGCTGTTAGTCAAAGACCACTTTGATGGCAAATGCAGCCTGGCATGGGCTGGCTCCCAGTAAATGCTCAGGAAAAGTGGGCGAGAATGAATGTTCTGGAGGGGTCCCCAACAAGTAGACCAAAAACAAACCAAACTCTGCCATCAAGTCAATCCTGGCTCATAGTGACCCCTCCTTGGGTTTCTGAGGCGGTATCTCTATGGAAGTAGATTGCCCCATCTTCCTCCCGAGGAGAGGCCTGTGAGTTTGAACCACCAGCCTTCTGGTTAGCAGTCAAATGCCTTAGGCGCTATGCCACCAGAGCTATCCCAACAAGTAGGGCTCCAGTCATATCCTGAGGATTGTCCCCAACCTCTCAGGACTTCTGGCAGCCCCTCACCATGGCCGGTCTTCACAAAGGATGACAATTCCCACCCAGTCCAGACTACCACCCATCACCCACTCCAGGGCTGACCACAGACACTCTGCACAGGGCTGACCCCTGAATGGGGCCAACAGTTCCTCCAACTCTGAGCCCCTGTGGTAGTTATGAGACAGCAACAAGCAGGCAGTGGCAGTCACTAACATATCCCACATTTTTGTGGATGAGGAACAAAGGACCACAGAGGTTTTAGTGAGTACAGTGACAGAATCAGTGCTTCCTCTAGCCAGCTCTAATCCTGTGCCTCAGTCTTCTCATCTGTAAAACAGGGAGAATACTGGGTCAAGCACTCATTCTATTGTAACAGCTGGTAATTGTAGTGGTAATTGTAACAATTATCACTAATACTTAATGTTCTAAATACTTTAACTGGTGTTATGGATTGAATGATGTCCCCCAAAAAATATGTGTTGTAAATCTTAATCCCTATACCAGTGGATGTAATCCCATTTGGGAATGGGGTTGTGTTATGTTAATGAGGCCATTTCAGTGTAAGGTATGTTTGAAGCCAATCACTTTTGAGATTAGACAACAGAAGAAAGCAAGCATTGATAGGGAAGACAGATGCCGCATGAAGATCGCTGAGGGACAGAAGCTGAACAGAGGCAAGGACTTTCCCGCAGAGCTGACAAAGAGGAAAAAGCCTTCCCCCAGAGCCGGCACCCTGAGTTCAAACTTCCAGCAAACACAGCAATGGTTATGAGGATGATGCAAGCCTGGGCAGTTTTCATTCTGTTATACATGGGGTTGCAATGATTCAGAACTGACTCGATGACACCTAACAACAATAAGAAGAAGCCTCCTAAACTGTGAGCAAATAAATCTCTGTTCATTCAAGCCACCTCCTTGTGGTATCTCTGATACAGCAGCAGTAAGAAACTAAAACATGTGCATTATCTCATTTAAATCTCTCTACAACTAGAAGCTATTTTTATTTTCATTTTACAAATAAGGAAACTGAGGCACAGAGAGATTAAGGAACTTGCCCATGGTCAGTGGCAAAAATCAAGACTTGAACTCAGGCAGTCTGATTTCAAGCACATGCTCTTGACCACTAAGCAATACCACCTTTCTGCCAACTCATGAGGATTAAACAAGGTAATACATGTCGAGCGCATAGTGTGGTGACTGGCACATATTTAAACTCAATAAATGTTGTTGTTGTTATGTGCCGTCGAGTCGGACCCGACTCATAGCGACCCCTCCTTGGGTTTCCGAGGCAGTATCACTACGGATTGCCCAACCTTCCTTCCGAGGAGTGGCTGGGGGGTTTGAACCGCCAACCTTCTGGTTAGCAGTCAAGTGCCTTAGGCACTATGCTACCAGAGCTCCCCAATAAATGTTAGCTGCTCTTAATGTTTTGGTTATTATCATTTACCCAAGAGCTCATAGCCAGACTCCCAAAGTCAGATGAACCTTAAAAGGTCATTCAGCTGAACCAGCTGGTGAATGGCGGGAAGGCAAGCCAGGAGGTCTGGCCATAAGCCCTGCAGACCATGGGCACCAGCCGTGGCAGGAAGCCCCATGTCCTGCCTACCTGCTGGCCCACCTGCCCCATTCCCCTTCCTCCACCCCAGGCAAGGTGGGCCTCACCATTGACAATGGTCCGTCGAGTGATCTCCCACAGCACCAGGCCAAAGGCCCAGATGTCAGTCCACTTGTAAGACTCGAAGCAGTCAGTGCGGATCTGCTCATCCAGCACCTCTGGTGCCATGTACCGCTTGGTGCCCACTCGTGGGTTGTTGCCGATGTCCAGGTAGTCGCTACCCTGGGAGTGCATCACGGCCAGGCCTGTGGGTACCAGGCCTAAGATCAGTGATCACTGAAGCCCACAGAGAGGGTGACCTCCCAGGGATGGGGTCCTGGGGGAATGTTGTGCTGGAGAGAGATAGTGGAGCATAGAGGGGACTGGCAAATGGAGACTTGCCCTGAGATGGGCTAGGAGACATCGGTTACAGAGAGAACTGTCCTAGTTACCCTTTGCTTCTGTAGCAGCACCCTAGTTTCCCAAGAGCCCAGAAGTGTGTGCAAGGCAGGTATTATTGTGCCCAATTCACTGAGCAGAAGCCCCAGGCCTGGTCAAGGGAAGCAATATAGTCAGTGAAGCCGTGATAAGAAGCCCTTTTGTCCCAGTTACCTGAGCTATATAGGAGGGTGTGGTGGAAGCACTCTGGGCTTAGAAAGAGGGTTAAGGTAACTAGTGGAGGTGAAAATGAAACAACACACATCTGAGTTTTAAAGCTCCAAGAAATCAGTCCCTTCACTCAAACAGACAAAGGCAGAATCACAAGAAAAGAGAGAGCGAACCCCGCCCACCCGCAGAGGGCCCGCTCCACTCCACCCCGCCCACCTGCGAAGGGCTCCTTCTACCCCGCCCCGCCCACCTGCGAAGGACCCGCCCCACTCCGCCCCGCCCACCTATTTGGCCCACACCCTGCTCACCCAAGTCGGCGATGCAGCACTGCAGGTTGCTCTTGACCAGCACATTGCGGCTCTTTAGGTCGCGGTGAGCTATGGCAGGTTTGCCCTGTGTGCCGAAGATCTCCACGTGCAGATGGGCCAGGCCGCAGGCCGCAGACATAGCCAGCTTCAAAGCCAGCTGGGGCTCCAGCGTTTGCCTTTGCAGAAAGTCATAGAGCGAGCCGTGCTCGTGGTAGTGTGTGATGAGCCATAGTTGCGTGCTCGAGTTGCGGGAGGTCATGTCCGAGGCGATGAAGCCTGTTGACAGGGACAGGTGGTTTAGCCAAAGGACTGGGAATAAGGGATGCTGGCCTCCTCTGGAGGCTGAGAGGGTGGACTGGACCCAGGAGAAGGGCTGAAATCGAGGGGACAAAACCAGATCAGGGTAAAGTGGAGTTGGTGTGGAGGCTGTTCCTGGCTTAGATTAGCGGGAAAGCTGGAGTCAGAGAGGTTGGGGGACAAGGTGGAGTGGGAGTCCTTTAGGGTTAGGTACTGTCTGGGTCCAGGCTGAGAGCAGGGGAATGAAAGAACCTCTGCTTGCCTAAGATGTTGTCGTGTCTGAGCAGCACCGTGTTGTAGATCTCTGTTTCCCGGAACCAGGACTGTTCATCCCTGGAGGAGAAGATCTTGACAGCCACACTCTCACCGTGCCACAGGCCCCGCCACACCTCGCCATAGCGGCCCTTTCCTGCTCCAGTGGCCGGAGAGGAGGGAAAGGGTCACACACTGGGCACATAGAAAACGTGGACACAGAAACCCCCAGAAAAGCCCCCATCTTGATGCTGACTCCACCTGCACAACCTCTAACACTTAGATTTAACTTAATTCAGACCCAAACCCAGCCCGCACACCATCTCCATCTGCCTCCTGTTATACCCTGGCTTTCTGCAGAAGGACCTAGTCCGGGATCATATCCAACCACTCCCTGTGTAGCAGAATTCCCAATCTGACTCAGACCTGGCTCTGCCTGTGACTCCAGAAGTCAAGAACTCCCCCACCCCTCCAGGCTCATGGGAGCCCTTGTTCCCTAATCCTGGGCTCACCCACTGCTCACCTACGCACTCCACCAGGGTAACCTGCCGTGCCACTGTCCTCTGTACCAGGAAGGGGAGCCCTGAGCCACTGCCCGTGGTGCAGTCACTGTCCAACAGGTCCTGGGGGTGCCAAGAGGCTGCTGAGAGGCTGCCCCTCACCTACTTCACCCCCCCCAACCCTTAACTCCATCCTCAACCGGGGTCCTATGGCTGCGTCTTTTGTGTGCGCCTCCCTCCCCCAGCACCCTGCCCACTCTAATCTCTGCCCCTCATTCACCCAGCTCCCACCCACTCTAATCTTTGAGTGTCTGGAATCATGCCTGTCCCAGCTACCCACTTTGACTCTGTGGCTCCTGTCACCCCACCTTCACCCTGTGTCCCAGGTCCCCCAGGCCCATACCCCAAGCATGCTGTCTCCTTGCTCAGATGCTTTCAGGATGATGCTGGACTCGCCCAGCTCACTGTGCAGGCCCCGATGCTTCTCTTGCCTCCGTCGGACATGCCACAGGCCCAGGGCACCCAGGGCCACCAGGGCCAACAAGGCCAGCACAGGGCCCAGGACCAGAGGCAGTTGGCCATCTACTTTAGGCTGCTCCGAAGGGGTTTTAGTGGCTGAGGGAAAGGGACAGAGTTCCAACTCCCAGCCAAGCCAGCTCCCTCAATTCTGCCCCTCTGCCAGTCATTTCCCAGGGTCCCACCTCCTGGTCAGAGCACAAGAGGAAAGCAGGGCAGGGAGAACAGGATCCAAGAAGCTGGGGAGGGGTTTGCTGGGGCATCTGGACATACCCTTCAGCACCAGGGACACGTTGTGGTTGCAGAAGGGACTGTAGCAGCAGTAGTGGTTGACGAACTCAGTGGGGCGCCCCCTGCAGAGCTCCTGGTGCAGGTTCCCACAGCCCCGATGTTCGTGGAGATGCCTACCCTCCTCCTGCACTAGCACTACTATGCACCAGGCCCCCTGGCAGGTAGGTCCACTGCAATGTGGGCTCTCACACGTGCAGGTCACTAGCGGTCCCCGAGAGGGGCTCATGGGGTTGCCTGGGAGACATACCAGCAGCTCATCAATGCTGGGCCCACCTCCAGGCTGAGCCCACACTCACATCTATTTCACTGTCCCTCCTTTCTGACCTCTCAAATAAACCCCCTTAGTTCTCTTAGTTCCATCCTCAGATTATCCTTCCCTCCAAGCCTCATCCCCAGCTGAGACTGTGAGAACCAGGCTTCCAGCCCTTCCCTGATCCTAGGACCTTCTCCTCCTAGTTCTCAGCCCCCAGCCCTAGCCCTACCCACCAACATCCCCAACTTTCTCCACCCTTATATATAGGCTTCCGCAGAGCATCATCCTTCAAGTTTGGCTAAAAAGGGCAGCAAAAGAGGGTTAGGGTTGCTGGGACATAGTCTAACCTAGCCTCACTGTCGCCCACCTTCTAGCTAAGCTGCTAAATCCTCCTTCTCCCTAGCTCTCAAATTCAGCCCCAGCGGTAGCTGAGCTGAGCCCAGATAATCCTTTCACCATCCAGGCCCCTATTCCCTAACTGTTCCCCCAGTACTCACTCTGGGTCAGGCCCAAGGCCATTAGCAGCATCAGAAGGCCCCTCCTGGGGGCGCCCAAGGCCATGGTCACTGAAGAAAGGAGAAAGCGAGGAGCACTGTTAGAGCTGTGAAATGTGATCCCCCTCTGCGTTTTCAGCCACTGACCCTGGGTCCCTCCCACCCAGAGGAAATCACTGGGAGGTTTTTTTTTTGGGAGGGGGGAGGCAGAGAGGCCTCTTCCCGGCTCTCTGCCTCTGTCTTTGGGGCGGGGCCTACAGGGGAAGTCCTGGTTCACTTCCCCATGGAAACCACCCTGTTAGGGGTAAAGGGTAGGGAGCTATGTTTAAGTACTTGGAACTTGGGGGAGCCCAGCTCTGCACCCTTGCTCCTGAGCCTCAGCCTCTTGGTTGAGGTGGTGAGGCTAATAGACTGGAGACAGGCCAGGTGTCTGGGTGGGCACCAGGCTGGGCTGAAAGGGTCACCTCTTCAGCAGCCTGCTGCCTCTGTCCTCTGCCTCTGACCTACCCTCTCCCAGCCTCCCCACTGCCCACCCCTTTCCCAGTATCCCCCCCAGCCCTGCCTGGCTGCCTCAAACATAAACAGGCTCTTGTCTTCACTTCCTGCTATTCAGGGTCCTGCCAAGCCAGGAACAGGAATCAAGATTGTTTAGATTGGGGTCTGGATAGAACAGGCAGGAGTCACGCAAAGCAGACAGTAAGGGTGTGTTCTCAAGGCAGGCTGGAGCCACTATAGGGTCGCAAGAGCCACCTGGGGCCATGATACCTCCATGATAGAATCCTAAGAGGCCACTTTGTGAATCACAAAGCCCAACTCTTTATTTTAGAGAAGAGGGGATGAAGGTTGAGACAAGGGAGAGAAGAGAGAATTGTCCAAGGTCGCATGACACCCAATGCCAATACCAGGAATACAAGCCAGGTGTCCAGACTCCCAGTCCAGTGCTCCTTCCACTCTATCTCCCAGCCCAGTGGTAGCAGCCCAGGCCTCTGAGCCTTCAGGGTAATAATGAGTACAGAAAACACAGACAGACCCTTCTCCCGCCAGGTATAAGATGCTGTCTCTGAGCCATTCCTGGCCCACATCTCTCTCCTTGCTGTCCTGGAAAAGGGTTGGCAGTGGGGCTGATGATGTGACAGGGGAAGTGAAACATACTTAGACAATGAACATTTGACCTTCCATGGCTGGCTGGGGTTGAATTTCTCCAGAAGTTTAATGGGGAGAGGTCTAGTGTTTAGGGGAGTAATTCTGGTCAATGATAGTGTCCAATTCAGGTCCCAAATCAACTAGTGCTTCAGAAGCCACCCTACTCTTCATTTCTCAAGACACAGACCTAGGCTGCAGGAAGAGGGACTGAGTCAGACAGGAGGGGGGACTTTCTGCATGGTGGGCAGTGTGTGGGTACATGTCTGGTGACTGGGTCCGTGGGTGGGGGCAGCTGACACCAGGGAGAAGTGTTCTCTTGGTTGAGGTGGTAAGGCTAATAGGGCCAGGCACATGGTCTAAGATGGTGCCCAATGAAGGCCCATGGTGCTAAGGCTCTAGAGAGGGGGGTGGGGGTGGGCAGCCTAGGCCTCACTGGCTGGTAGAAGCTCTGGCCTTCCTGCCTGGGCTTCTTCCGCCCCAGAGGCCTGGGGCTGCGAGAGGAAACAGAGCGCTGGGCTGCTGCAGTTGTATCCCCAGCCTCTGCCTGACCCCCTGCCTCCTGCCCCTCCTGACAGGCAGTGAGGACTCTGGCAAGCGCTCTACAGTGGGGCTGGTGGTTAGGGATGGAGCCCCAGGCAAGTGGAATTTGTCCACTGAAGTATGGGCAGAGAGCCATCCCTGACAGCCTCTGGTTACTGAGAAAATGTGCTAGGGACATGGGTAGGAAAGCATGAGGTGATAAGAAAAAAGCGGATAACAGTCAAGATCAAATCTGGCATCCTTCTAGGATCTTCTACACGTGCTTCTACTTCCCAGACTATACCCTGGCCCACCCTCTCACCTTCTCCGATAGCACTGCAGAATCATAGGAAGTGCTTATTTAGACATACACCTTCTAGGGCCCTGGGTGGCACAAGCAGCTTGTGATCTACTTCTAACCTAAAGCTTGGAGGTTCATATTGATCCAGTGGCTCCATGGAAGAAAGTCCTGGCAAGCTGTTTCTGTCAAAATTACAGCCAAGAAAACCCTACAGAGCAGCTCTGTTCTATGACACACGGGCTCACATGAGTTGGGGGCAGACTCCACAGCAGCTAACAACAGAAATGCACCTCCTTTGGCCTCAGCCCCACTCCAGATTCAGATTCAGTCCATCTGAGACCAGCAAGGAATCTGCGTTTTTTAAAGAGCTCCCCTGATCAGTAATTCTGATCCAATTGTGTGGGGACTACTTTGAGAAATGTATCCTGCACAACACTAAGCCTGGTTCCCAGGGTTTTATTTCTCTGAACCCTGCTGGGTAAGCTAGAGTGGGGCCCAGAGCCCAGCGGGAGGGGACTTTCACTGTCACTCACATGGGTCTTCCATAGCCCGTGCATCCACTGTTAATGTCTTAGTGGATGTTAACAAATTGCCCACTGCTGCTGTCATCTGCTGAAGGAGAAGGGACAGCCAAGGATAACCACTGGAGTCAGAGATAGCGTAGTGCTTAAGGCACTTGACTGCTAACCAGAAGGCTGGCGGTTCAAACCCACCAGCTACTCCTGGGAAGGAAGGTTGGGCAATCTACTTCCGTAGTGATAGTGCCTCGGAGACCCAAGGAGGGGTCACTATGAGTCAGGTCCGACTCGACAGCACATAACAACAAACAACATGGAGGGACACAGGAGGAAGACTTTGTACTACAGGCATCAACCTTAAGCCTCAGGAACAGTGTAAGAACAGGCCTGGTGGCATTTTGGGAGCCCACGTCTTGTCCAATCCTGAGACTGAGATGGAGTAAAATTGTGACTGTCTGATTTTCAACTGGGCCCAGTGTAAGGTTAAGTAAAGGAAGGTGCTGAGTCCTGACCAATCCAAACCCAGAGCTGACCCTGCACGGTTCAACCTGGAATCTGACTCTATCACAAACAGATTCCTGGGGACTCGTGGTGTCCTTTCACTTCTAAGCAAAACTTCAAGAAAGATCTCCTGCTGACAGAAGCATCACTGGTGTTGGCCAGAAATCATAAATGTTAAATTAATTTCAAACAAGACCTTACCACCCTGAAATAAATACTTACTACTCATAGTTAACTTCTCTGAGTAGCAATGATATGGGAGGTACTGAACGTTAATGGTTTATCTCATTGAAACCTCACAACAATCCAGTGGGGAAACAGACCTGGGGATGTTTCTTACCCACATTCACCAAGTATGTCTTAACAAATTTAAATTGCTGACATTAAAGCTTCTTTGTTCAACGTTATCCCTTCAATTGTTTGGTGTTAAGCAAGTCCCTTAAAGGAGGAAAAGAGCATGTGGGTCTTGGTGGACAGTTACGAGTTGCCCACTGCGGCTGTCATCAGTGCGTCCCCTTACGTAAGTTTGTGTAGACGCAAAGACAGCTGCTGGTTAGAAATCATCTATTTGCTGTCAGATTAGTCAAAGTCCGCACCTGTGGTGGAGAGAGTCAGGGGAGGGGTATTGCTGGAAGGGGGGTTATTGGTAGTTTCCCCTCAGCACATCTGAGGGATTGGTAGAACCTGCTCCCAACAGTTGCAGTGGCTCAGCACGGCAGTGACTGTCACAGTGCTGGAGAAGCACTACATTGACTATGACTGTGCCTAGCTCTGGGAACTCTAGGAGCATAGTGCCTAAGGCATTTGACCCCTAACCAGAAGGCTGGCGGTTTAAACCCACTAGCCACTCCTAGGAAGGAAGTTTCGGTAATCTACTTTTATAGTGATACTACCTCAGAAACCCAAGGAGGGGTTGCTCAAGGATCTGACATAGCACATAGCAGGGTAAGCCTGAGCAGGGTTAAGCCTGAGCTGGGTAAGTCCTAGACGGACTTACCCAAACCTCAGGTTAGCAGCTGAGTGTGTTAACTGTTTGCACTGTCCAGGGACTTCAGCCATAACTACCAGACCCAAATATGTTGAGTCTTTCTTTGCTGCAAACTCAAGATCAGATTTGCTGATGCCTCCAAATGTCTTTTATACAATATTTTTAAAGAAAGAAAGAAAGAAAGAATAAGCCTGGATTTTAGGGTCCCTGGCAAATGTGGAGGGAGCACGATAGAGCACCGAGGTCAGTGTGTAGGCTCTGAACCATGTAGACCTGGGTTCAAATCCTGCCTCTACAACTTAGTGCTGTGTGATTTGGGCAACTTACTTAAACTTTTTGAGGCTTAAAACCAAAAAACCTACTGCCATTGAATCGACTCCAACGCCTAGCAACCTTATGGGACAGAATAGAACTGCCCCACAGGGTTTCCAAGGCTGTAAATCTTTACAGAAGCAGACTGTCTCCTCTTTCGCTGGTGGAGTGACTGGTAGGTTTGAATCACCAACCTCTTGGTTAGCAGCTGACTGTTTTAACCACTATGCTTTCTGAAGCTTACATTTCCCCATAAGTAAAATGAGAATAATAATAGTACTTATTGATAAGTATATTGTGTGTATAGTTATTTAGCAGAGCACTAAGTGGTATATAATATGCACGTAATAAATGTTACAAAAAACCCAACCCTGCCCCTTGCACCATTCATGGAGTGTTGGACAAGTTATTCAAGTCTGAATCTGTTTCCTCTTCTGTACATGAGGATAATAACCCCTCTTCCGTTAGGTTGCTATCAAGATTGCATGAGAGAAGAAATCTAAGAGACTACATAGTAAGTACTCAATAAATGGTAGCTATTTTTAAACAACCTGATGAGGTGGGAAAACAGGTGAGGTGAGAGGACAGATGGGGCAGTGAGGGATCAGAGAGGACAGACCCCGACTGAGCCTGAAGTTGCCCACAAGTAGAGGGTAAGACCTACTGTCCACTATGTTTCTGTCCTATGAGAAGAAAAGGGTGGGTGGGGCAGCCACCCCTGGGATGGGCTGAATAGCACTGGCCTCCAGGGCTGACTAAAAACCTGGGATCTTAGCTTGGAGGGAGACAGGGAGTCCCTTTGGCTTGGGTCCTGATGTAGGGTTCGAGGCAAGGCTTGTGGGATGGAGTTATAGTGTCAGAGTCTAAGCAAGGGCTGCAGGGGCTGGTCTGGGAAAAGTGGGTTTCAAGAAAGAAGCTAAACAGCTGGAACCTGATCAACCCAGCTGCCTGAAGGGACCCAGCACAGAGCAGGGGAGACTATCAGTTTCAGAGCAGAACAAGCCTGGATATTTGAGCTGGATTTCGTAGAGTTACAGGCTGCGGTGATGGGAACCTGGATTACATGTTAAAGGTTCTCAGAGGAGGCCCTGGGAAACGGACAAGAAGCTCAGCTGTGAAGCCAAAGATTGGAGGTTCGAGTCTGTCCAGAGGTCCCTTGAAAGGCCTGTTGATCTACTTCTGAGACGTCAGCCATTGACAACTGTATGGAGGTATATTCTCAACAACAAAAAAATAAAATATTCAAAGAAAAAACCTTATGGAGCACGTTTTCACTCTGACACACATGGGGTTGCCATGAGTCAGAATCTACATAATGGCAACCAGTTTTGTTTGTTTGTTTGTTTTTAAGCTTCTCAGAAGTGGGCCCTGGATCCTGGGGTTGAAGTCACAAACATATTAAATGCATTCATTATTTATAGTAGCTTAAAAGAATAGTATGTCCTTTACTATCCTTTACCTCTGTGAGTCCTTCTCTGTGAATGAAGTGGGGCAGGAATCCTTCTACCCATTTTATGGATGCAGATAGGAGAACAGAGAAGTTAGGTAACTGGTCCCATGTCATCGCTCCGGAGCCAGACTGTAAAGCCAGGTTTTCTGATTCCCAGTCCAGGTTCGGTCCAGCAGCCTCCTAGCCTCAAGTGGGTAGTGGGCAGATGTGCTGGGGGACAAGGGTGGCGGGGCTGGGGAGTAACTTACGTCATTGGTGAGCTGGGACCTACTCTGTGGCGACTTTTCCGAGATCTGCGGGATCTACCCTATGGAAGGGCCCATTCCGGCAGGAGTCAGGCCACCCCTACCCGGCCCCGCCCGCGGACCTATACTCACCTCTGGGCCTGCCCTGCGGGTGGCGGGCGCAGAAGTGCAGCAGGCGAGGGCCGCCTCCCTCCCCCGAGGCGCGGTAGCCGCCGCACGAAGGGCGCTGGACGGCGATCCAGGGTCCAGGCGCGGCCCGGGACCGGGCTGGGGCCGGGGAGGGGCTCGCTCTGCGCGGCTGGCGCAGCGGCCTCCCGGGACTGGGAAGGGGGCCGGAGCAAAAATGTTTCTTATTCCAGCGTCTTCCTGCCTGGCCCAGCTCCACCACTCCCTCCTAATAAACCGTTTCCTATTGCCCAGCTCGCTGACGGCCGCCCGCTGTCCTCTCTTGGGGACTGCAGGGCCAGACTGCTCCCCCGCGCCGTCCCGAGACCTCGAGGGCAGCCGCCCCAGCTCCGGGATCGCGGCCCGCGCCCCCTCCGGATGCCTCCTACATCCACCTCCCCCCAAGGGTGCGGACCTTGGACTCAGGCCGCGGGGGTCCTGTGGGGTCCAGGCCCAAAGTCGTGAGGGCCTGAGCCCAGACGGAGGCGTCTGGCGGCCCGGGTAGGGGATGGGGGCGCCCTCTCCAGCTCAGAGCTGGGGCATGAGGAAGCAGCCTGAAATCTGGGCGTTGGGAAGGGCCCACCGAGGCAAGGACAAGAGGGGTGGGGGAGCTGCCTGTCCCTTCCTGGGCCTTCTGCCCAGGAGGCTTAGAGGAGATTTTTGGGGCCCCCGCAGGGTCCAGAAGAAGTTTGACTCCGCCCTCTCCCCGCCCCCAAGAGCTCTCCAAAAAAACCAAACCACTGCGGCCCACTCTATTGTGACTCATAGCGACCCTGTAGGACAGAGTAGAACTGTCCCATAGAGTTTCCAAGGCTGTAATCTTTACAGAAACAGACTGGCAACATCTTTCTCCCGAGGAGCGCCTCGTAGGTTAAAACCACCGACCTTTCGTTGACAGTCCAGGCTTCAACCACTGCGCCACTAGGGCTCCCTGAAGAACTCCCTACTTGGTTCAAATCCTTTAGCCCCCTCCCTGGGGTCCCCTTATCTTCTCCTGCTCCCTCCCTTCATCTGCAACCTCTCCCCGCTTTGCGCGTGTGTAAAAGACCAGACAGGGTGGCTCTGGGTCTGTGGTGGGGACGGTCTGAGCTCCTCTGGGACACAGTGCTGGAGCAAGGATGAGGACCTGCCTTGGCCGTCCCCTTGGGACGTGTGCGCCACCCCACCAGTTGGAGGTGAGCCTTTCTTAGAACACTGCTGAGATGGGTGTCAGGGAGTAAACCAGAATGGCTTCTCCCCCAGGGAGAAACGAACTCTTCTCCGGAGTCCCCTGCACAGGCTTAGCGCTCTGGCATCATTGTCTTGCTGTCCTGCAACCACTGTGAGCATCCTGGAGTCTAGTCTCTTCATTATCCACAAAGACTCAGGTCAGACTACCTACTTGAGAATCCAGGCTATTTGCCTAATCTTAGGCAAGTGACAGCTCTCCATGCCTCTGTCCCCCACCTGCTAACTGGGCTTAACAAACTGTTCTGGATTCACAGGGCTGTTGTGTGAATGAAGGGAAATGCTTATCTCACTTCATAGCAAAAATGCTCGCTGGCTGTGCCTAACATGTGCTAAGCCAAAAAAAAAAAAAAAAGTTGTGGTGGCAGGGATTCCAACTCACCGCCACCCATGAGTTACAGAGAACTGAGTTCCATAGTGTTTTCTTGGCTACGACCTTTACAAAAGTAGACCACCAGGCTTTTCTCAGCCATGCTACGGGGTGAGTTCAAACCAGCAACTTTTAAGTTAGTAAACAAACAAATAAAAAAAAAATCTCTGCCATCAAGCCAATTGGACTCATAGCGACCCCACCTTGAGTTTCCAAGGTGGTATCAATCACTACAGAAATAGATTGCCCAATCTTCCTTCTGAGGAGTGGCTAGTGGGTTTGAACTGCCAGCCTTCTGGTTAGCAGTCAAATGTCTTAGGTGGCAAGTGCAAAACATTTGTGCCAGCCAGTGAGTGACCTTTGACACAGGATTTTTGTCATTAGTTGCTATCCAGCCCATAGTGACTCCATGTATGCAGATTATAACTGCTCCATAGGGCTTTAGTGGCTACGGCACTTGACTGCTAACCAGAAGGCTGGCGGTTCAAATCCACCAGCCACTCCTCGGAAGGAAGATGGGGCAATCTACTTCCGTAGTGATACTGCCTCGGAAACCCAAGGAGGGGTTGCTATGAGTCGGGTCCGACTCAATGGCAAACAACAACAACAACAACATAGGGCTTTCAAGGCTGTGACCTTTTGGAGGTCTCCAGGCCTCTGCGTGAGTTGAAAACGCCAAATTTTCAACTCGTAGTGAGTGCTTAACTGCCATCTGACCCTCGATAAAAGTATTTGTTAATTAAATTAATGAATGAAATGGCTGGGGAGGGGTGGCCTCATAGCCAAGTGAAAAGACTAGGGTATTGGGAGCAAGAGCAGACCTCTAAGGGTGTCCTGCTCTCATCTTGGGACACTGTGGTGGTTATGTTTATGTGCCAACTTGGCAGCTAGATGTAGTATTCCCCACGATGAGACTGCATGGTGGAATCTACTGTGAGCAGCTGAGTAGCTGCCTTTGGGTATGTGGTCTGTTTCCTGTATATAAGCAGCAGCTTTGGGAATAGTCTCTAGTTTACGGCACACTTGGACCCTGCATGTAGCTGTGTCATTGTTCAGCAGCCTGCCATGTTCTGCTGACCTTGGGACTTACAATGGACTTAAATTAATGGCCTGCTGTGTTGTCTGGTAACATCGGGACTGTGCCATTTTATTTGTCATCCTTGGGCTTCTCAGCCTCAGCAGCCAGCAGCTGTCTGAGTGACGAAACGCCTCTAGCTTCAGTGGGCCAGGAGCTGGAGGCAGAGCGAAAGCCCAAGGCTGAGGGGCTTACACCCAACCCCTAGAGCCTGGCACTTTGAACTTGGACTTAAAGCCTCCAAACTGTAAGAAAATAAACTCCTATTGTTCAGGCCAGCCCATTTTCTTGTCAGAGCTGCACTAGGTAACCAGAACAGACAGGGACCCCCACCACCACCCTCTGACAGGAATAGAGGGTGAAGGAGATGGCCAAAGGCTCAGACTGAGCATCAATTTTTGACTGACCTCACTTCCTCTGCTGAAAACCACCCCATCCCCAGTGCTGCAGCTGCTTCACAATTTGTCCTGAGTGTTATGAATTCCCAGAACCCCAGCACACCCAAATTTCAGTATCAGGCTAGAGCTGTGTCCTGTGGCCAATAGGAAGTACTATGGGATTACGATATCTGCTCTTTCAGATTATAGTGGTCACTTCAGCACTATATTAGCTGGAGAACTGGGAATCTGGCGGCACGTCCATCTTTCACACCCACTCTCCCCCCTGCCCTGCCATGGCTTCTGATAAACCTCTCCCTCCTCAGCCCATGGATCTCTGTCCTGGGAAGTGGGAGTGGGGGCTTCCCCAAAGGAAGCAGTCAATCTGGGACACACACTCAAGACAGAGACATGGAGATGGACAAGATCTGAGAGTGGCTGCTGAGAGTCCATGGGGATGGGGGACTGTTTGTCTGGAACTTAGACAAAACAGAGTAAGGTTTGGGAGCAGGAAGAGAGGGCCTGGCGGGAAGGGCCGCTGCTACGCATCAGGTGCTGGGTCTGCCCCACCTCCCCAGAGCGTGGAGCCCTGTGGACCTGATTGGTACTCTCTGGGGTTTATGGGTTTATCTGACCCCCACGCCTCCCAAAGTACACAGAGAACCTGGGGGAGGCATCAGAGGAGGGACACAGAGTTGGAAAAAGTGCTGGGGGCTCAGCCCAATGAGGAAAGGGAAAAGGAATTACAGGCAGTGTCCAAGTCTACAAGAATTAATTACTCAGAATCACCAGCTGTTCCCCATATCCAATGAGGACAGAACAAGAGGAAACAGGCCCAAAGGACAAAGATTTAGATTTAGATATGCAGAAGGATTTCCCAGCAGTGCCTGAAACAGAGGCCTGGAGATCCTGGGAAGAGTGTGTCGGATAAAACCTAAAGGAGATTCTTATCCATGGAGGCAGGTGATAAATGAATAATTTCTTTTAGAAGAAATAGCACAAAACTGGATCCTATGAGATGGAGGTTAAAGATGTCCACAATGTCCAACTTTTCCAAACTGCTGTCCCACTGCATCATCTCTAACATTAACCACCCCTCCTCCCTCAGTACCCTCCTTCCTGTTTTTTGGGTTCCGTAATTCGATGCAATGTCTAACAGAACTCACAAACTGTCAAGAGAATGGCTCAAGCAGTTGTGGAGGCTGGCAAGTCCCAAATCTGTGGGTCAGGCATCAGAATGGAGGCTTCCTCTGACTCAAGGAGTTGCAGGGGTTGATGATTCCAAATAGGTCAGATGACAGGCTGATGGCTCATAGGGCTCCAGAAGCTGGCAAATCAGGTCAGATGATATACTGCAGGCTCAGGTGCTAAGAACTAGAGGTCAGATGATGACTCTCTAGGTGCAGGAGCCAGAGCAAGAGAGAAAACTGCCAGAGCATTCATCTACATTGGATGCAGACCATACCCTCACTTGAGCAAGACAATGCAAGGATGGTAAGGGTGGTGACTTGAGTCAGACCTTCTAGTAAGGCAGTGAGTCAAGATACATCCCACCTTAATTCTGCCTCCTTAACATAACAGACAACTCACTCCCAAATGGGACCATAATCACAGGCAGAGACAAGGTTTTACAACATGTCACAAAATGGAAGATCATTACATCATTACATAACTGCCAAACCACTGAAAATCATGGCTCAACCACATTGACACATAATCTTAACCATCACAGGTTCTATGCACCTTACTCACATCAGCAGCAAGCTGTCCATTCCTCTTGGCGGGCCACAGGAACCTTATTTGCATAGTCCCACCCAATCATTGTATGGGAATCACAAAGACTATAGCTAGAAAGGCCATATGAAGTAATTCACTGTACTGCACCTGGAGTCCAGCATGAAGAGACAAGAATGGAGGAGACCTTGTCCTTTCAGGCCCAGGTAAAAGTACTGAGTAAAGCATCACTATTGACACCAGGGCAGGGTCAGCTTCATGGGCAGGCACACTGTGCAGTTTAACGCTCTACTGCTGCCTTCTCAAGATTCTTAATAATCTTTGAACAAAGGACTCAGCATTTTCATTTTGCACTAAGCCCCACAAATTATGTAGCTGGTTCTGCACCAGGGAGATTAAGAGAAAAGGCAAGAGAAGAAAAGTAGCTGGGCTTTGCTCCACTTCAATTGCAGAGTGGGAGATC